TGGAATATTACTAATTTTGTGATGCTCTTTCGAGCTGTGATGAAATTTTTGTCTAGATCAAAATTTAGTCTATAATGCAAATGGTCCATTGACCAGTTTTAGGTCTCTAGGCTAAGTGTGACAACACATTAAAAGGAAGGACCCTTTCGGAATACTTTCTAAATCCCATAAAATAGTATAGAAAAGTTTTGATTATAGTAAATGTCTCATAGTGACATAGTGATTTTTTATCCAAACTGTGGGCTTTTATCCAAATTGGCAAGTCCAAGCATGGTTCTATGTGAATAGTGGCAGTGCCAAAACAAAGTTTAATTAGCATCGCTTTATATTTGCTGTGTGAGTCTGTTAGTTTGCTGGTCTGTTAGTTTGTTTGGAATCATAAGCTTTGGTATTTATTCAAAAATAGTATGTCTTCATTTGCTTGTGGTGCCCTGTAGTACTGTCTGGTTTTATGATAGAATACCACTATATTGTCTATTGAGCAAAAAAATTATTTTTTTCTGAAATTTTAGATCAGCAGACTGACAGAGATCATTCTGGAACAAGACACGAATACAAAATATGAATATTTTCGTGTTGATGCGCAAGAGGATGCGTCACAACCCACTTTACTGCACCTGGCTGCTGTGCAGAATTTTCTTCATGTCACACGATGTTTGGTCAACCATTACTCCGGGCTTATGTACAAACACACACGTGGAGACAAGGACAACGCTCTGCCTGTAGAGTTAGCCTTACGAAAACACAAGGATGACACTGCCGCTTATCTTATATCACAAATGAAGTATGGTTGGTAAGTGGTAAAGAGCATGGGCGTACGGGACCAGTCTTATTTGGGGGGGCACAGTATATTTTGCCTGAACAGGCAAACTTAACATTTTACAGGTCACCAAAAAATTTTGTCGGAACATACCAGAAAATTTTTTCGGGACCGACCAAAAAAAATTTTCCGGACCGACCCAAAAACTTGCCAGTAAACATATACAAAAATTTTGCCAGACATAAAAAAATTTTCCCTAACATCACGTAATTTTCGCAACTATACAAAAAATTTTCACTGCATATCATATTTTTCTGAAATTTTAATGTTTTGCCCGAATTCGCATTGATTTTTGCCCGACCGCAGAAATTTGGGGGGGCACGTGCCCCCCCCCGCCCCCCATTGCGATAGCTTTTATAGCTTTTACGTTACATGAAATCAAACAGTGTGCATTTTTTTTTTTGGGGGGGGACACTCGGTATGTTGATGTAGAGGTGGAGATCGAGATAAGGGCAATTTACCATCTCGCTGAATGCAGGGTATGACAATTCGTACTCCAATGATTTTTATTCGTCATAGTGGAGTTGTGTACTCTTTCACTTGTATTTACCGTTGATAATTGTTACCAGTATGGCTCACAAACATGAAATCTTTTGTTTATACTTCAAGGATCCAAGATCTGTTTCTCTGTGACAACAACGAACAACCGTCAATAAAGTTTTATTTTGGAGATATCATAAGCTATCGTAATGCCAGGACAAATGAGTATGGCATGAAGGTAGGGTATTTTTTAGTTCCAGTTCATATGTTTATGAAAAATCATAAAAATAACAAGTATTTTTGCTGAAAATCTGCCAACCATGGGTTAAACACAGTCTTTCAAGATATTTGCATAACTTAACGTTTACACTGGCTTGAAGCCCCCATTTTGAAGTGATCTTATATATAAGTTGTTTCTCGTTGTTATTGAAAGTAGCAGTCTCCAAGAGCCCGTAAACGTAACCTCGTACATCCAAATTTACAGGGGGGTTTTTCCAGGAATTTTTTGTAGCCGTTATTCGTTAAACGGATCCCCAAAACTCGATTTTGAATTAGCTTTTCTCACGGCTGATTTTCTTGCCATTTTGGGGTACTGCCTCTCCTACGTTTGAGAGTCTCCGCACCATGAAATACAACTTTTTAGTATCGTAGTTGTTTTTATGATGATAAATTTACAGTTACAACTTTTAAAAGTCGCATTTCACGATCTTTGAATTGTCTAGAATCCTTCACGAGGACAGACAGTACCCCAAAAATGGCCGCGGATTCTGACGTTCGTGAGAAACGCTAATGGACCATTTGCATTATAGACTAAATTTTGATCTAGACAAAAATTTCATCACAGCTTGAAAGAGCATCACAAAATTAGTAATATTCCAAAGTTTCGTTGCGAAATGTTGTAAAATGCGGATAATATAGCCTTGCGAAATTTGCAATTTTCAGTCATTTTGTATTACAAACAGGAAATTGATGCCCCATCACCCGATTGGGCTGTCAATTTCCCGTTTGTAATCTAAAATGACTGAAAATTGCAAATTTCGCAAGGCTATATTATCCGCATTTTACAACATTTCGCAACGAAACTTTGGAATATTACTAATTTTGTGATGCTCTTTCAAGCTGTGATGAAATGTTTGTCTAGATCAAAATTTAGTCTATAATGCAAATGGTCCATTGAGTTTAGACAGTTTAATCATGTCATGGAAAGTTTAAGCGAAGTAAAATTGAAGTCGTTGTGAGATGTGGAAATGTGAGATGTGGAAATATTTTTTTCTGTGTGAACTCAGTGAAGTGAGAAAAACACAAACAGACAACATGGGGTGGGGGAGTAACAGATGCCCCCAGTCTCACTGTCATATAGATGAACTCAATCTTTTGTGCAAAAATGCACGCAGCAAAAAAAACTCTGAAAAATCCCTGCTTTAGTAGGCTAACTTTATGAGATCAGTGGATTCTATGTACTATTTACAAGTTACAACATGAGCGGCCGTGTTGTATCCGATACAACGCGGACGGGAAACGTCTGTTCAAACAATGGCTTGTGAAACGTCTTGATGAGAACATTCGTATTCTTCAACAATTTAAAATAAATTAATGATATTTGGTGAGAAAATTGAACTTAAAGTTTATGTAAATCAGCATGATTCTGTATCAGATATACGAACTCCTTCACGCTCATGATTCTTGTTTGTGTTTTCTTCATGCATTATTAATGGTATCCCAAGTGTGATTTTGATTGCGACGCTGTTTTTTCCCATTTTTTTACAGAAAACAGTTTTAGCAGTATTAAACAAGTTGATCAATCCTCGTTGGCCTTACTTACCCGATCGGCGCGATGAAGATGAAAGCAATGATGATATTCAGCGAGCCTTGGAAAGCGTTCCTGACGATCCAATGAGCTATGATTTCAATTATCAGATCCTTGAAGCGGACGAGAATGGCAGACAGCCCAAGATTGAGGTGGCCACAGAGTTTGACAAAAATGATGAACCGACAAACTTTGAAGAGATTGCCAATCCATATTTCAATCCGAAATCTGTCTCGTGTCTCAGACGCATTGCTGACAGTGATAATAAGGTGTGGGAATTGATTAAACTTAGAAATTTCGAATGTGCATTTTATACCAATCCCCAATTAACCAAAATTTTGAACTCAACAAGACTAGACAAATATTTCATCACAGCTTGAAAGAGCATCACAAAATTAGTAATATTCCAAAGTTTCGTTTTAAAATGTTGTAAAATGTGGATAATATAGCCTTGCGAAATTTGCAATTTTCCGTTATTTTATAGATTAGAAACGGGAAATGGTTACCACTTCTGTGCGTAATACAAAATGACTGACAATTACAAACTTCGCAAGGCTATATTATCCGCATTTTACAACATTTCGCAACGAAACTTTGGAATATTACTAATTTTGTGATGCTCTTTCAAGCTGTGCTGAAATTTTTGTTTAGGCTAGTTGAGATCAAAATTTTGGAAAAGTGGTAACCGTTTCCCGCTCGTAATACAAAATGACTGAAAATTGCAAATTTCGCAAGGCTATATTATCCGCATTTTACAACATTTCGCAACGAAACTTTGGAATATTACTAATTTTGTGATGCTCTTTCATGCTGTGATGAAATTTTGTCTAGACTTGTTGAGTTCAAAATTTTGGTTAACTGGGGATTGGTCCATTGTAGGCCCTGTCATTGAACCTGCGGCCCTGCGATTCTGGTGCAGCGCTCTAATACATATTTATACTGGCTAGCTCAACCAATTTTATCTAAACTGTGATCTCTATTGTTTTATATTCAGGAAGCTATACAACATCCGGTTGTTCGAATGTTGGTGGCGATGAAATGGAATAACTTTGCCCACAAGTGGTTTTGGTAAGAATAATTACGTTCTATACTTCAACACACAACTGCCACGCCACGTGAACGTGAAACATGGCCGAAAGAGGCGATGTTTACTTCGCTGTACCGAGGACTGGTTCAAAATGCAAAGACTTGAAATCTACACACGTAAAAATCGCACAACTTGTGAACAAGATGTGTTCGCGACAGGCTTGTAGCAAGCTTGTCAACAAGTTGTAACAACGCTGTTATAGTTTATCAAGTTGCTACAAGGTTGTCACTCACAACTTGTTGACAAATTGTTGAATTGCATGACGATAACAAGTTGTTGGAACAACTTGTAACAAGTCTGTTGAACTCAACAACCAGCTTGTAGCAAGTTGTCAACAAGCTGGGAACAAGCAGTGCGAACACATCCTGTTGACAAGTTGTTGGAACAGCATTGCTACAAGTCTGCTGCAGGTTTGTTACAACTTGTGCGTTTTTACGTGTGTAGTCCAGTCCGAATTGGAGGATTTTAATTGACATCTCATACGAATAAATGACGGTGAATTAATTGGTGAATTAATTTTGATCCAATCCAAGGACTGAATTGATTTTGATTCAGTCCTAGGACTGGATCAATATACTTCACCAGGTATCCAGTATTATCATCAGTGGCGTACAGCCAGCCCAACGATTTACTCCTACTTTGCAAATTACAACTCATCATTATTCATTTCTTTAGAAATTTATTGTGTTGATAGTTTATAGACATGGCAATATTTGCATAGCGGGAGTGCGGGACTAGATCGTCGGGCTGCCTACGCCACTGATTATCATGTGAGCAAAATAAAGCAATATGATGCTTGTGATGTTACTCTGAGTGTATATCCACACCGGGCAAGCTTGAAAAATACCTGACCACGGTGGGAATCGAACCTACGACCTTTGGAATACTAGTGGTCATGATTATTATTAGATAAAATCATGATTATTATTAGATAACATTGATATCGACGTAACTAGATTCTGTTCCGAAATATCACATACTCGAACCGACCAGACCGCGTAGCTCAGTTGGCAGAGCATTGGGCTAGTATTCCAAAGGTCGTAGGTTCGATTCCCACCGTGGTCAGGCATATTTTTCAAGCTTGCCCGGTGTGGATATACACTCAGAGTAACATCACAAGCATCATATTCACCTGAGTACATTACAACAACACAGAAAAAATCATAAAGCAATATGGTTGGCTAAATTACTTATGAATTATTAATGATTGCTATATTCCAATATCTAAGTCCTAGTATTCTCTATATTTTAGCGTCAAGGCTGCACTTTACGTGATGTTTTTAGCAGTATTGTCATTCGCACTCATCTACGGCTCTACTCGTGAAGATCCAACACAGTACAATGGCTCGGCTGATAAATTACGGGCATTCTGTGAGATTTGCAGTATAGCTTTTCTGATGGTTCAATTGTTTGACGAGATCGGTGAATTAGCAAGGTTTGTCGAACAATAACTCATCAGGTTGGAGTAGACGCGCAATTCAAGTGACGATACATATACAGTTATGTTTGTGGTGTTGCTGGATGTTTCCAGCTATCGACTATTTTTTATTCTAACAAGAAAGACGAAATCTATCATTATAGCTTAAAAGTAAAAGAGCAATCTAAAATTAGTAAAATTACAAAGTTTAGTTGCGAAATGTTGTAAAATACGAAAAATATAGCCCTGTGAAATTAGCAAATTTTGAGTATTTTTGTATTACGCGCGGAAAAATGCACCACTTTCGGCACACTCAAAAGGATTATCCATGTACCCCAATATTCAGTTTCGACCAAGTGAAGTGCAGAAAAATTATGTTTGTCTATAAAATTCCTTACAGGGAAGGAGGAATCTACTTCAAAGTTGGATACAACCGCCTTGATGTACTTGGTATCACCCTCACATTCCTTGTCCTGCCTCTGCGCTTTGCTGAAGTAAAAGCTCAATGGAGTGTTGCTGCGATCGGTTACATACTCAATTTTTTACGACTCTTCAAATATTCCAATGTTTCAAGGTAATTTTAGTGCTGAGAACAAAACTTAGTTTGTAGTTATGTTATACCTATAGTTATGTTATACCTATAGTTTGTAGTTATAAGTGTTATACTGTACCTATAGTCACACTATCAAAGTTTCTGTGATCACATTAGGAATTTTGCATAGGAAGATTCTAGGTTTTGAAGGATTTGCAAGAAATGTTTGCATGAAAATTTACCTAAAACTTAAAATTTACCTTCAAAACGTAAAATTTACCTAAGGAAAATACTCTTCTTTTTTTAGAACCACTTGTCTTTATACGACGACGCTTGTGAATATAATCAAAAGAGATATCACTCGTTTTATGGTGTTTTTTTCTGTAATATTTATTGGATTTTGCGGAGCATTGTTTATGGCTTTGAAAGTAGACGACATGCAAGATTCTTTCAGGTTAATAGAATATTTTTGTGCCTGACTGTTTTGATTGTATTGTGTTTCATGTTGTTTGTTATTATTGTTATTGTTATTGTTATTGTTGTGGTACGTTGTTGTTATTTGTTGTTGTTGTTGTCTGTTGTTGTTATCTGTTGTTGTCTGTTGTTGTTGTTGTCTGTTGTTGTTGTTGTTGTTGTCTGTTGTTGTTGTCTGTTGTTGTTGTCTGTTGTTGTTGTCTGTTGTTGTTGTCTGTTGTTGTTTGTTGTTTGTTGTTTGTTTGTTGTTTGTTGTTGTTTGTTGTTGTTTTTTGTTGTTGTTTGTTGTTGTTTGTTGTTGTTGATTGTTTGTTGATTGTTTGTTGTTTGTTGTTGTTTGTTGTTGTTTGTTGTTGTTGTTGTTGTTTGTTGTTGTTTGTTGTTTTTTGTTGTTGTTTGTTGTTGTTTGTTGTTGTTGATTGTTTGTTGATTGTTTGTTGTTTGTTGTTGTCTGTTGTTGTTGTCTGTTGTTTGTTGTTTGTTTGTTGTTTGTTGTTGTTTGTTGTTGTTTGTTGGTGTTTGTTGGTGTTTGTTGTTGTTTGTTGTTGTTTGTTGTTTGTTGTTGTTGTTTGTTGTTGCTGTTGCTGTTGTAATAAACTTTTTTGGAACTATTATCTGAAATAAACACAGTCCTCTTTCTTCTATATTTGACGTCCACTACCGCTACGATTAAGGGACCATCAACCAATCAGATGCGCTTGATTTATCTGATTAACCAATCAGCTGCGCTTGATATAGCTGATTAACCAATCAGATGCGCTTGATATAGCTGATTAACCAATCAGATGCGCTTGATTTATCTGATTAACCAATCAGATGCGCTTGATATAGCTGATTAACCAATCAGATGCGCTTGATATAGCTGATTAACCAATCAGATGCGCTTGATATAGCTGATTAACCAATCAGATGCGCTTTATATAGCTGATTAACCAATCAGATGCGTACTACACGCGTAAAAATCATCATGTTGATGCAAGTTGTTCAAAACAGGAGTGAACAATGTTGTGCTGCACCCCGTGAACAATATTGTTAACAAGTTGTTGAACCATCAACATTGTTGCAACTTGTTGACAATCATGTTAACAACTTGCAACAGTACTGATGGTTGAACAACTTGTTAACAATATTGTTCACGGGGTGCAGCACAACATTGTTCACTCCTGTTTGAACAACGCCGAACAACCTGATCAATTTTTACCCGTGTAAGCCAGGCAATGGTAGCGGTAGTCAAATCTAAACCTCTCTAATATCACAACTGAAACGTGTTTCTTCTATGGTTAGCAACTTCGCTTGGTTGATGTTGGCTGGGTTTAGAGCTCTTGTTGAACAACAACCTTTGGAAGACGACTACCAAAAGTTTGGGTAAGTATAGCTTTATTTATACAGGATAAGTCTAAGTTCTATGCGCTGTTCCCCACTGATCTAATAGTGTCCTCCCTTTAGGTCTAGCAAGGGACATCCCTTGTGGTTCACTGAGTTAATTACTTCAGGAAAAAACTGCAGTACCTGGAGAAAACTAGACTTGCTCCGAGTCTCTCTTTCATTGTCATATCGATCCACTATAGTGTACATTACATGACGTAGTACGGAGAAGCGGAGCGAGAAAGAGAGACTTGTCAACTTCGGAAAATCTCTGTTCAAAACTGAACCGAAAATGCAAGACTTACTTTAATTGTTTTCTGTCAGTGTTTATATGTATTCATCTAGCACAGTGTAAATAACATGAGTTCCATTATAGTAAATAATACAGAAAGAAATTGAAGGAAAACAATTAAAGCAAGTCTTGCATTTTCGGTTCAGTTTTGAACCGAGATTTTCCGAAGTTGACAAGTCTCTCTTTCTCGCTTCGCCCCTCCGTGCTACGTCATGTAATGTACACTATAGTGGATCGATACGACAATGAAAGAGAGACTTGGAGCAAGTCTAGGAGAAACCCTGCAGCGTTTCGTAAGCAATCTTCTCGTACGAGACTGAAGCAAAATTATATAACTGATTAGACAATTATTTTTTATTGTCTGCAAGCAAACTTTTTTTATTGTCTGCAAAATCGAAGTGTATTGTAAGTTTTGAGAGCTAAATGTTAAAATACCAGTATTGTAAAATGTGGCTGCTGCACAAATTCAAAAAATGCTCGCATTTTTACTAATGATGCTGTAAATCATAATATTTGTGATGCTGTAAATCATAATCTTTAAATCATAATCTTCCTGACAGCTCAACCACATTACGGTTCCCAAAGCCACGTTCGAACAGTTTGGAAAAGAGTTTCATGTATGACGGGGCTTTCATATGGAACTCTTTGCCAGAAAATATTAGAGAAAGCAAAACGCTATCAATTTTCGAAAGAAAAATCGCTACCCATCGCTATTATAAAAGCATGGTTGTAAATAGTAAATTAACGTATATTATAGTATATTTTCTTTTTTACATATGCATGTGTATTTCTTACTACCTTTATCTTCTTTTTGTAAAATTACTTTTGTTCACACGGCCATTGTAGAAACCAGCTTTAGCTGACAATGTTAGCGTGGTTAGATAAAGTTTATCATTATCATTATCATCATCGTACGAATGGTGCTGTATAACATTGCACCAACAAGCTCAAATGAGCATACATGCACACCTATACTTGGTATATACATGTCGTATCACAAAGTTGCAAATTAATATTTTATTTCCGTATTTTACAGCTGGTTGACGATACTTATTATACTCTCGTACATGGGAATTGTGATCGTTGTTCTTCTGAACATCCTCATCGCACAGCTCAGCTACACATACAGTGAAGCGAAGAAGATTGCTAAAGTTCAATATACTGTTGATACCATGAGGATTGTCACTCGTTTAGAGTACAGCAGGTTCGCGTTATGGGTAGGTATATAGAGTCTTTATCACAGATATGTTTCTCTGCGCATACCACTCTTCAAAACTGCAGCTGGTCAACGGTCGTTTGTCTATAGAGCTGTCTACATTTGGAACAATTTAGATAAAAACCTGAAAGACAGCGCTTCCCTTAAAATCTTCAAGACAGCACTTAAAAAACATTTGCTTGCCAAGGAGAACGTTTAATAACTTACTAAACTTTGTGCATGGTTTGGTTAAAACAAATTAAAAGAAAATTGTAAATAATTTCTGAAAAACCCTTTCAGGGAGAAATTTATTAAATATCTACCAGATATCTATGTCTTAGGCCCCACCAGAGACGGATTTTCATATTTTCGTTCGGAGGGGGGGGTGGATAAATATCTGGGGGGGGTGCTGCTGCTTGCTTTGGCCGGGGCCTGGTGGCAACGCCTGGAAAGGCCAAGGAAAAAGTTTAACAAAAGTTTTCTAGGCCTGCATGGCGAGATCTGAGACCATAATATTCGGTAATTTTACAAATTTAGTAGTAAGAATAATCAAATATGAAACTATCAAATCAAAATATATATAATTTGCGGGGGTGCAACAACTTTTGGGGGCGGTGCCAAATGCCTCTGGGGGGGGGGGGGTGTCATTCATTTCTGGGGGTGCGTCCCCCCCCCAAAAAAATCCGTGTCTGGGCCCCTCTCAAACGATTACGGGAGTTGCAACTCCCGCGTGTGTTTGATCGCCAAAACTTTGTTGAATTGATTGGAATTCAAGAGTTACAGGCTAACTACAAAAAGGAGCTACCTTTCTAAGTCTAGAACAAGACGCCTGCTCAGGCGTTCACACTGGCCTGAAAATAACGAGATACGTGCTATGGTGCAAAAGGCAGGAATTCAAATCTTAAACCGCAAGCAAATTTTATGGACTTTTTAAAAAAACCTTTTCGGGAGAGGTAATGGAGATCGATGCACGTGCAAATCATGCCGACCTACAGAATCGATTTACGGTTTTTTCTAACAGCGCGTTGTTTTCATGTGCGTTCCATGGGCCGCGCAAAAAATATAAATATTCTGTAAATACCGAAATAAAAGATGAGAATCTCAAGACACAAGCTTGAAAATAACACTATAAATAATGTTTTCGATTCTGGTTCCAATAACATTATCACGAAACGGATATGTCCAAAGGGGCGGAAGTTATGTTCGGCAAAATGTATGGCTAGTTTACATTGTTTGTTGTATTATGAAATATGATACCATACTTGTATTAAAATTCGCGTCGAACTATAAATGTTATTGTAAATGAGTAGACTTGCCACAAGTTGACCTCGAACGAAATGCGTTTCTTCGAGGTCGACTTGTGGCAAGTCTAGCAAATGAGAACCATACAAATGATACAATAATGGTTCTAGTTCTTGTTGGTATTTTGAACGCACGCTTTATCTTTCAGTATACTGTAGCTACCACAAATCTTTTCGTGCGGATTATATTTCGTGGAGTACTAAATATTATATTTTGTGGTTTTCGAGTCATTACACGAAGAAAAACACATTAATTCAACACGCAAGAAAGTCCAGAGTACGACACAACGTAAAATACATAGGAAACCGGCACAATTCTTTGAAAATTCAACGAAACTGTGTAAAATATAGTTTGATCACTCTGTGAAAAGCCGCCATTGCAGTTCGGAATTGTGCGCGTGCGTACAAGTGTATAGGCTAATAAACGAACAATGTACCACAAGCATGGCATGAGTCGGCTAGTACGTACATAAATACGTAATTTGTTGCTATTGTATTTGAATCATGGAACGGAGGGAACCGATGGCATTTTGGCTTAATCGTTGCACCTTGAGCCTGCGATGCGCTAACGCAAACTCGATTTCTCGACTACGAAAAAAACAGAAAAAGACACTTGGCCTACAGGCCAGTGTAATTAAGTCCCGATCTAGCAAGGATGAGAGTTGATAAGATTTGAGAAGCGAGAGTTTGCATGAGAGTTTTCTTGCATGAGAGTTTTCTTGCATGAGAGTTTTCTTGGACAGAGACTGTTTGCCATCTTTAAGAAGCAGGCGTGAATTAGCAACCATCCGAGAGATCAGAAGGATTCAAGCGGAACCAACTCACCCTCGCCATACCGTACTGCCTGATCCTAGAGGATACCCAAATGAACTTAGACAAAATAATTCTTATACAGTTCTATCTAGAACCGCGAGACACAAACAATGTTTCATTGCAAGATCTAGTAAATACATATAAATCTGATTTTTGAACATTCAACTTTGTCTTATTAACTTTTTAACTCTTTTTTTAACTTAGTCTTTTTAATCTTAGTCTTTTTAACTACAATTATTGATCTTATTCTATTATGACTAACTGTAAATCCATTGTATTTTTGATCCTAAAGATGGACAATAAATGCAATGACGTGGTGTTTTGTATTTTTCTTATAGAATTTTAGGGTGAAGAATTACGTCGAAGGTGATTGGATCAGTGACGAAGACCTGGCGACAGAGATCTTAGAATACACTGAAGAAAGACATCCCTGGGAGACGGCGGAAGACAGGATCACGGGTGTCAGGTATCCTACATTTTGATGGTCTGGTTGTATAGCGACGAATTCATCAGATACACCCTTCCGTAAAGTACTCAGCCATGGCTTTCGTGATAGAGATATTTGGTTTAGAGTCCTTTATCTTGTCACGGATGGTCATATTTACGAAATCATACAGTTATATTAGTAACATTTCAAATCCGACTGTTGGGACTGGACTAGATTTCAAGTCCGCGCTAGTGGATCAAAATGCGAGGACTTGAAATCTAGTCCAGTCCGAATTGGAAGATTTAAAATGACATCTCATACGATAAACAACTATAATATAAAGGGAAGTGAATTAATTTTGATCCAGTCCAAGGATTCCATTAATTTTAATCCAGTCCTATAAGACAGGATCAATATACTTCACCAGGTATCCAGTATTATTATATGGCTTTGCAGAATCCTGGATTCTGATTGGTCGACGTGCGCTCCGTAAAATGCGTATCCGGACCGTGGTCCGTATTTTCCCGTATCCGGACCGGTTTCCCGTATGTCAATTTGACAGGCTCGAATTTGAAACGTTTTTACACGTTTATAAGGTCGTTATGTGAAGAAAAAGTATCCTTGGATCATTTTTAAGAATAAGAAGTCTTGGAAATATTAATAAGTACTTGTACCAACACAAATTTCATCGAAACAGCTAAGAAAACAAGCCGTTTGAACTCTTACTGGCAACCGTAAGTTTTGGCGGGAAAATCTTTTTGATTTGTTTGCTTGTTTAAAAAAATAAATAAAGATGAATTTAACGTCTTTAATACCATATTCTAAACAAATATCATATAAACTGGGTTATAGGCTTTTTTTCTGGGGGTGGGGGTTACCGAAAAAGTAGTTCTAAAGCTATTGTTAAACATGCTTTTCCGTAAACAATATTCGGTGACGAAACCAAATCTAAACGAAGAAAACTAGCAAATAAAACATAGCTCAAAAATACCTTTATAGCGCTCAAACAAATATATGAAAATCAGAAAATGTGTTTAAGGAGCCATATAATAAACGGTTTATTAACCTCGTTTTGCTCGATCTGTACGGGAAAGTATTTGCCTTCGATTTATCCGCACAGACCTCGCTCCTTCGTCGCTCGGTCTGTACGAAAACCTCAGGCAAATACTTTCCCGTACAGATCGAGCAAAACGAGGTTCGCTTTGAGAAAGATAATAGTACAAGGAAAAACTCTCAAAAAAATTTGACAGGTTAGCAAAATACATTTATTACATAGAAATTATTTTAAATACAAGTTTTTTAAAGAATTAATACCGAAACAACAGCGAAAAAAACATGTTCATTGTCATTGAGAATATAAATTGTTCAGAAAAGTTTGCAACGAAAGACAAATGAATTTGCAGTCAACAAGCACTTATATACTACCAAACATCTGTATAATATATCTGATCTTTTCTGTGAGATATACCGGTTCTAAAACCATTTCTTTCACTTCGTCTGCGACGAGGTCTGCGAGTTGTAAAACAAAAGTATTTCAAAATTTTTCAAGGCCAAGCGGTTTTTGGCCGAACAAATTGTCAAGTCACTCAAGACATTGTAACAGACGATAATTAATTATTGCTTCAGTTAATGGCTATTAGACTATATTATAAAACAATTATACCACATACCTATCAGCTCATATACGACTCGAGCTCATGGTATAATTGTTAATTATCATGTGAGCAAATTAAAGCAATATGGTTGGTTAATTTACTCATGAATTATTAATGAGACTGAGATGACAATATGAGATGACAATATAAAATACCTTTACATAATTATCCGTAAAGTAATGAAGGGCTCCAAAGCCGATATCTCGATCCCGAAAACGAGGCAAAGGCCAAGTGCTTTCCGCTGGGGTCTATTGCCGAGAAATTAATGTCATATTATTCTCTCCCCCTTCAGAGAAATTATGCGAAAAGTTGTAAGAAAAGGCAAGGAAATGGATCCTTTGGAAAGCATTGATGAAAAATTAACTAAACTTACGTAAGTACATATTATTATCTTTATTTCGTAAACTCACGGACAAGCTAAAAAGCTAAAATTTATACTGGATATTCTATCAGTTCTAAGTTACTTTCACAGAGGTTCAGTATTATTATTGTTATTTTCCCACCCGTGCGACCGAGGTGAAATTATAATCAGATATATTACATGTTGCTTCTTCGCAAGAACTCAGTTACAGAAATGGAAAAAAACCTTTCTGGGACCGCAAGAGAAAATTTAAAATTTTCTGCAATAGACATTGGGACAGTATAACTGTGTGACACTAACAAGTTGTCAAACTGAATGTCATGCTATATTTTAAAAATAATTCAGTGTACTGAGAATCTTAATTATGAATAAGAACTTTTTAGGAATATACCATAAAACTAATTTTAAATACAGATACCAAAAAGGGGTACCGTTATAAGGTACCCCTTTTGAGTGAGAGTGAGTGAGATATCATGTTCAACACGAGAAATAAATCTGGTATTTCCAAGCACCCATGTATTTTTCTGTTTATTATATAAAGGACAGTCTTTGAAAAGCGGTAATTTTTACAGAAAAGCGGTAATTGAAAAGGGATAATTTTCACATGTGAGATTATCATGAATAATCTCACATGTGAGATTATCACTTTTATCAGTGCTCGAAATCTCTATAAAGCACTATACTTTATATAATAAACTACAATAAACACGCAATACACTTATAATTGCGTTTCTGAGGTCATACCTACAGTACAGGTAACCTTCTTAATCCTATTGGTTAGAATTTTTCGTCTGAATTTCTCCTTTTATCTAAATAGTTTTTTCTTTCTTGGGAAAATACTTTCTGGGAACTCAGAAATATTTCTGGGACCAATGGTCCATTGGTCCTACGGTCCGATAGTTTCTCCAGCCCTGTGACAGTCCTGTAAGTCCCATACGTTAACTGCTGTGAAATTACGGTTGCCATTGAGTAATTTTAAAAAGGCTGACGCTGTTGAAAAATACTAAGATATACATTTACAAGTTAAGCGGATCAAATTATTATGTCATGTGAACATTTTCAATACTTCCAGACCCTACTTAACCTACCCTACCACAGAAGCCATCATATACAAAAACTGTACTATTATAGATAAATCTAGACATTGGACATTTTTGTTATATAAGTAGTCTTTACATATACATCGCCAAATCACGGAACTAAAGCCTCTAAGGAACTTGTGATCTTTAATTAGAGCGTAATTTGATCCGCTTAACTTGTAAATATATAATCTCAGTATTTTTCAATAGCGTCATTCCTGATGATGACTGAAACCTAGTCGAAACGTTGATTAAAATGTTAACGGAGTGTCTATTGTTTTGTTCTTTTTAACTGCTGTACCATCCCTGTTACACGATCTCTTTATTTTCCATTTTAGAGCGATCATGGAGAAGTCCCCGGAATGAAAATGAACTGTATAGGTATTTCACATTCTGTACTAAATGCTCTGGAAAGTTTTAAGTTTTAGCTGGAAACTAATTTAGGAAATAGTGTTGTTCATTTGTGTTCAACACATCATGAAACGCGAGAGGGCAAAATAAGTAGGATTATCTAGCGAACAGCATTTTATGTCGAGAAGAAAAATAGGACTTATGGTATAATGGTATGATGCCAATTTATTTTCTCGGTTGAATGATCAGAAACATTTGACTGACCATGAACACTTCAATGCAGCGAAAAATTGTCTGATATATCCACCAAGGCCAGGCTTTAGGAATGACGTCATCGTTGTAAAACACATAAAACTCCCAGAGTGCATACGTCTGCGTGCAACAGATTAGGAGACCTGTGGCCGCAGCACGCCGCGAGATCTTCATCACTTTCCTGGTACGAGCTTGCTGGAACCTGTTGTTGTCGTCAGCTGTTGCTATGGTGATGGCGTGGCTGGTATTATTTTCCGTGCTCGAATCGACGGTGTTATTATTTCTGCTCGTACTCTCGATTTGAGTAATAGTTCTCAGCGTCTGTTTGACCTGTTGCCGGATACGTCGGGCAGCTATGATGAAACCACCGAACAGCAAAATTCCCCAAAGCACGAAGAATGAACGGCAGATGAACAGCAGTATATGTGTACTCGGGAAGAACACAAAAATCGTATCGAATGTAACGACGACGACAAAATGCACGAGCAAAACAAATGCCAGTACTTTACGCTTGTGGATGACCGACGGTAGCAACTGCAGCTTGGTAACCTCTACCAACGACCAATTCATGAGAAAGAACCCGGATGTCAGGCAAGGGTAACCCAAGGAGAACAACAGTAGCCCGTATCCTGGCGTTAGCTGAAGAGGTCTACCCGTGGAATACGGATCGGCTAGCAACACTATGGCTCGGCTTAGACCAAACAGACAAACCAACAATGTGATACAAATGAAGTAATTTCTAGATTTTCTCATTTGAGTTTGCCATAGTTTGCCAAGATTGTAGACCCCGTACATGGCAACAGCAAAGAAGGTTATCCCAAAGATATAACTGTGTACCGGTAACGCCCATTTCCAAACCACGGCTCCTTCCTTCCAGTCCGGTAGGGGTTCTGGCATGCCGGACGAACGACCCGAATCCTTCATGCGTGTGAACTTATTTCACTGACGGTTGCTTTGATCTTTGGTGGTGAACTGTTTATTTATTGTCTATGAATTAGAGAAATATTTGTGAATAGATTTTCTTTTAACTATTTTGATTGTAAACAACATCTAGCATAAGTTGCCGTTGTTTCCGTCTGAACTACCTGAAGAAATCGAAGCCTTTTTTCCACCCCAACGTATTTCTCTATTTCCTGAGCACTAGCGTGGAACTAGTGATCATGAGTGTCAGATGTAGGAACAATTTAACCTAGAATTTAACTGTGTATTAAACCCACTTGCGCTAGACTATAGCGGTAATATTATGATTTTGCTGTGCTTAAATTTTGCAATAATTATCACTAAAATATCTTGAAAAAATAAATATTATAACCGGAGAATGTCTATAGTTTTCAGTTATGCATAATCTTGGTTTCGCATCAAACATATTGAAATCCTTCTAAACCTTTTTATATAAAGCATACAAAGCATATAAATCGATAACGAACCGTAAAACTCAAAGTTGGAAACAATTTAAACTTCGTGACCCTATGACATAAACTCTATTTTCGGCCTGGTCGCGTAATTTTGAAAACGGGTGTAATAGGTGTCTTTTTTCCAGAACATTAGAATGTTCTTTCAAACATTGTGTGGTCTGACTATTTTTCTGTTCTGTGGTCAAATTTCATTTATAAAAAATCTTAAACCTTAACAGCTCTGAGTTATATTTCCTATTGCCAAAATTGACTTTCTCACGCCCAATTGATCAAAACGTTTCCCCCAGTGGCAAGTCTCAAGGCTATACGCGGTCCAAAACCTACTCCGGCTGTTCACTTCGCTCGCAGCCGCAGGGCTAACTGCAAATTATTTTTGGTTACCTGCAAAAAAAGTAAATATACATGCATGCTATAATAACATTGATACAAAAGAAATTTTCCATGTCCTTTTACTTTGGAGAATACTCTATACCTACATTAAACCTTCAGGTTTACATGTGATCGTTTTTTTCCGCAGGCAGTTCAGACTAAAACCACGGCAGTTTTTTAGAATACCTACCTGGACTGCATCCACGTTTGTAATATTAATCTGGCCGCAGATGTTGTATAAGTACATTTATACAGTTGTATATATAAATGTGTTAATTAGGTCTATATATATCTTATCTGATTTGAAATCTACATCACTTTAATTGTGTCAGAACCTTATGAATCATTTTCAATAAGCTGTAAATTGAATTCTCGTCACTTCGGATAAGCAGTTTTTGAAAAAAAATATTCGTGTAATTTGCTTTCCAATTAATATATCCTCCTACCTGCAAACTAATTACTAATTTATACAAAAGCGGCTATAAGCTTCCCTGGACAGGAAATAATCTCTTAGATACGAGTTGAAAAACGGAAAACGCGGGGATATAGCCTGCGCGCAGTCTCAGACTTTGGGAGTTTGGGACTGCGCGCAGGCTAT